ACTTTCAAAGACATAAGGTCGATCATGATCATAGGTCAGGTTTCATTTTCCGAAGCTGTCCGATGCCATCACTTTGTTCACTCTGGAGCAGACGCCAGGGTTGACGCTTGTTGTTAGAGCAACTACATGTGCAGGGCTTTCTTGAGAAAGGGTTCAGGTATCTCGACTCAGGCAGGTTTGAGGCAGTGAGGGATGCTTTGCTTTCATGTGCGCTCATGTCTGTGCATCTGCTACATGCATGCATGAGGCTTACCTAGTAGTGTATCTTGTTGGGGTTTCTGATTTCCAAGGTTGCGAGGCTCGTAGGAGTGAGGCCGCCAGGTTATTGACTGCATCTGTTCACTCGTAGCCTTTCGTGCTGAAAGTGCAAATTCTTTCGAACTACTCCTGTTATTAGGATGTTGTTCGACGCCCGTAGTGGCGCCTGCATTCCGCTGCCCAAAAAGCTTGGATGCAACAGCCCTGGTACACCAGGGCCTGTGTGTGTGCACACCTGAACATGGTGAATCAAGCTTTTTATGTCAATAGTCTGCAAGGGGACCGTCTTGCAAGCATGGTTGACGGTCCAACGAAGAGGGCCATGCTTGTGACTGATATGGATCGGGGACGCTCGATCCACGTACCTGCACAATGGCCAGCCCAAAAATACCCCAAAACGCTGTTGTTTCTGTCATTGGCCTCAATGATTCTGTACGGTTGCTGTAATCTGTCATTGCATTAGGATGTTCGAGGTTCGCCTCATCAGTTCTTGCCAAGCCTAAGTGTGTGTTGCTGGGCGTAATAGACGTCGCATGCTCCGTGCTCCACAACCGATGAACACGAGTCGGAGGCTTTATCTTTCCATGAAGCTAAGCGGCAGAAGCTATCCTGTGAACCGTGGGGCCGTAGGACTTAGGTTCTGGGGCTCCGAAACCTTGAGTCCTAGAGCCTCTCAAGCCAGGCTCCACGATCTCCGGGGTGAACTTGGAGGTGGCTTCCTTGTGCATTTTGGGGGATTCATAGCGTGCGGAGTCGGGTCGGGGCTTGGGGGCTTTGCAATCGACGGATTTGCCTGGGGCGTGTGCGCGTCTCGACTCGCGGCGCTCGGATGGCCGTTGCGGGCTTCCTCACAATTCCAGGGTTTTTGTGACTCACCCTAGCCAGCAGTGACGGATGCGAAACGAGCTTTTGCCCGAGCAGTGCATGCACCATGGCAGGAATGATGCCCCAATAGTTGGCAAGCTTGTGCTCGGCTGAACATGGCGGCGGTTGTGGTGGATGCCGGCAGTTGTTTGTGCAAGGCAGGATTTTCAGGCGAGGATACCCCACGGGCTGTGTTCCCATCTGTGGTTGGTCGCCTGCGGCATCGCGTGGTCATGGTTGGCGTGGACTTCCGGGATGTTTATGTTGGTGACGATGCACTAGCAAAGAGAGGGATGCTCAGCATAAGATACCCGATTGAACGCGGCATTGCAGTCAACTGGGAGGACATGCAATCGATCTGGTCGCACATCTTCTACAACGAGCTGGAGGTGTCCCCAGAGGAGTACCCCGTACTGCTGACGGAGCCCTCAGTGAGTCCGAAGGCCAACCATGAGCAGCTGATTCGGATTATGTTCGAGGCCTTCAATGTTCCCTCTTTGCATGTCGCCCTTCAACCGGTCTTGTCCATGTATGCTGTGGGCAGGACAACAGGGGTGGTGCTGCAATCGGGCCACGGGGTCACCTGTGCAGTGCCAGTCTGTGAGGGATTCTGCCTGCCTCATGCGACCAAGTCTTTGCCTGTAGCTGGCCGTGAGCTTTCCGAGTACCTGGAGCAACTCCTCACCGAACGCGGTTTCTATTTCAACTCGAGCCACGAGCGGGAGATCTTGCAGGACATGAAAGAAAAGTTGTGCTGGGTTGCTTTGGACTTTGATGTCGCCATGCGCCGTGCGGAAGAGGGCCATGACGAAAAGAGCTTTGAGTTGCCAGGCGGAGCCACAGTCTCCATCGGCTCCGCTGCTTTTCAATGCCCGGAGCTGCTCTTCCAGCCGGGTCTTGGGGACTTGGGCGACCAGCGGGGGCTCGCGGAGCTGACCTTGGAGTCCATCTTGAAGTGCGGGGCGGAGGTGCACGCAGAGCTCTTCTCCAACATTGTGCTGGCTGGTGCGTCGACCCTCTTTCCCGGTCTGCCGGAGCGACTCCAGAGAGAACTTGGGTCCTTGGCGCCGGATGCAGCGACCAGCGTGCTGGCTCCTGCCCATAGAAAGCATGGTGAGTGGCTGGGGGGTGCCACCATCTCGTCTGTTTCTGCGTTTCAGCAGATGTGGCTCACCAGGGAGGAGTATGATACCCTGGGTCCGGAAGAGATTCATGACCGCTGCATGTACACAGTTGTCTGAGCGGTGTGGCTTTCGTTGGACCGTTGCTAAACAACAACCATGGCTCTGGCAAGCGGCGATGTGATGAGCTACAGCTGACCGGTGAAGGTGAAAGCTTCTTTTGTACAGTTGCAAATTCCTATGCAGATGTCGTGCGCGTGGCTGAGCCCAAGGTTCCATCGCAGCCGCATCGCCCCATACTACCTCCCATAAGGTCTGAACAGGTTGCTGCCACTATGCCGGCCCACAAAGACCAATCCACTCCGAGACCGCCAGGTGTCCGAATGTTTAGTCCGGTCTCGGGTAGGTTTCGTTCGTTTCGAAAGCTCTAATGCAGCAGTTTTAGCAGATTTATCGTAGAGAGATTCCGTCTGGTGTGCCTGTGCCCATTTTCAGCCTGTGCAACTAGCACAAAAGTGACGAGGACCTGCCAGAGGTATGCCATGCTTGTGAAGACAAGTGACTTCACGGTGTTGCGGGTGCAGGTTTGGGATTGTTTGTGCAGGGGTTCCGCTTCAGGGTTTGAGTACTTGATGGACTTATGCAATGAAGGGTGGATCAGAATACCTTAGTACTAGGTCCATTGCTCACAGTTCTAGGTCCCTTTCTACTGGAGTGAAGCAAGATATCGAGGAGAGTGCTTAGATGCGACAACTCTTTCAAGCTTCAGGGGGTTGTAAGTGCCCTGCTTTTGGAGTTCGGACTTCCAGCTTTAATTGCGAACAGAGCTGGCACTATCATTTTCAAGGAAGATAGACTGTTTGTCTTGTCATCAGAGGATCGAAGGATCCAGTTTCGAGCTCTCGAAGAGCTCGCGCCCGTCGGACCTTCCCTCTGCGTTAGAGTTCAGGTGAGCAACGTGGTAGCTTCTTCCGAAACAACGGCAAACAGGGCTTTCCTTTAAGGTGCATAGCGTGACCGAGGATCTTTACACGGGAGGTATTGTCAAAGTAGAGCCATGCCTGAGAACAGCCAAGCCACCGGGCTGCGTCTCAACCTTCCCTGCGCCAAGGCCGTAGAACCCTCATGGCCTAAATCCCCGAAACCCGAAGTCTCTCTCATACTAAGACTCGTTACGATCATAGCCATCAGTAGTACGATCGTAAGAAGGGTCATGACAAGCAGGGGAAGATCGGAGCGCTGCCGATGCTGTTGCCGCAGCTGCCTCCCTCCGAAGAGTACCTGTGCGGGGTCCCGGCTGGTGGCTCTGCTGCTGGGTTTTGATTCGCTTGCTCCCTGTCCTTTCTGTTTGGATAAAATTGATAGCCTTATACTTGGTGCTTGTTGCTTAAGGGTTGTTTGGTACTAGTTTGACTAGTGGTAATAGCCGTTTGTAGTCGTCGTGGCTGTGGTGTCGTGGTGGTTTTTCTTACTTGTTGTTGGTGCAGTCTTCATCATCTTCGTCACCATCACCATCACTATCAACGTCATCCCTCATCCCTCTAAAGTCTTTATGCCTCCCTTCCCTGCCATCTGCTCACTCTCACGGCTCTCGTCCCTTTCACCCCTATCACCCCTATCATGATCATGGTCATGTTCGTCCTAGACACCGCAAGAGTAATTTGCAAATTGTGCTTGTTGTCATGCTCACCATCATGAGCTAAAGGGTTGAGCCCTTGTCACAATCAACAAATGACGTCAACAATGTAAGTATGTATGGGTGTATGTAAGGTATGTATGTATGTATGTATGTATGTATGTGTGTATGTATGTACGTGCAGGACCGTCTTTCCTTTTGAACCGGCTGCAACAAGATCACTTGTAGCTTAAAGCAAGTGCTTTCTTTTTGATGATGGGCCGGAGATCTTGGGTTTGATGTCAATGTGTGCCTTGCACTTAACTAACAGTCCAGCCTGCTTCTGTTTCTGGTTTGGATCTAGACAGCTGTGCCTCAACCTGGGTCTCCCCTCGAAGCCAGAAAGGTCCTGGACAAGGAGGCGCATTTTACAAGGCCCTGCTGTAGCCCTGACAAGGTCCACCCTACTGTCCCCCTGCACAGATCCCAGTGTGGCGTTGAAGCAATAATGGTGCACCCTGTCCAAAAAAGCGCTGAATTGTCAGGTTCATGGCGTGAATAATTCCTAGGGGCCCTATAGGCTTCCATATGATACTGTAATGGTTCGTATAGTATACCTAAAAATCTTGTTCTAATGAGTGAACTCGCCCAGGGAGGAGATAGATCAGCAGATCGAGAGCTTGCTGGAAAGGTGGGCCATGCAGCATGCAAGAAGTCTTGAGAGTTGTCATCTCTTTTCATGGTACAAGTGAAGCCTGCAGCTCGGTGCACCCGATTGTCGGTGGCAGGTTTTTCAATGACGCTACATCATGGTCCTCGATCGAGCAGCAGGCCGGAGTCGTGCTGAGCTGCCCGAGTCTTCCTCGCGGTCACGCCGATCCTCCGCCTGCCGTCCCCGTTTGCACCCGATTCTGGTCAAGGTTTCTTGTTTTTTTCGCCTGGAGCCGTGCGCGTGCTCTTCTGGGCTTCCATGCTTCAAGCCTGCGCAGGCCGCCAGTGTTGCACGCTCTCTGGACCCGATGCGGGAGGGTCGGGGTTCTGAGTCTGGATTTTGTTGTGGTGTTTTGGCGTCGAGCTCAAGATCTTCAGATTTGGAGCAGCATCCTGTCGTCGGGCTGCGCGACTTCGACTGCAACAGCTCAGCAGCTATGGGACTTCTGGTTGCGACGTGTGTCCACCCGTCATGCCTTTCTCTCCACGCTTCAGGTCTCGTCATGCTGCAGAGCAAACTCTACTGTTTGCAAGGGCTCACCCAAGACCGACGACAGGATTCGTAGTCCGTCTCAATGAAGGTGCTCCGTAGCAGTGTACATGCAGCCGTCCGAGCTATGCAGGAATCTTCCAAAGTACCACCAGCCGACGTGCAATACTTCCGGATCAAGGCCCTTCTGTGAGGATGGGCCTAGAGATGTGTCGAGGTTTGGCTTCTGTCCAAGCAGCGATCCTGCCCTGTGCCGCAAAGGGACCTCAAGCTTAAGTCCTTGATGTTTTCGGCATTTGTCCTTGTTGCTGTTTCGTGACATGAGCTGCTGTGAGACACTTGATGACGTTTTCTTCTCACATCCCTGCGTCTACGAAGTGTAATTCATGCCGGAACTTCGTTCTAGCTGTTGACGTCCCTGTTTCACCCGGTGCCAATGGATTGCTCATGTCTCAGGATGTGGGACTGCCGTCCTATTATCATGTGTGACAGAGTGACTGTGCCTCGGGGTTGTGTTTTCCTAGTGCCATTGCAATCCTCCACGCTGTGCCAACCGCGCACTAGAGGAAAGAAAAGGTCAGAGCACACGCACTTTGACAAAACGGTGTCACTTTCAACTGGAGCATATGTGATACTTGCAAACGTCTACGCCAATGCCCCAGGCCCCGAGCGCCAACAAAGACCAACCCCAACTAACGCCTTGGAGCCTGAACACAATCGGTATTGTTACTGCTATGTTGATGATGCTGATTGTTGTGATATTCTTCTTCTTCCCATTGTTTGTGGCACAAGAAAGCCAGCTGGAGGTGCCTTCGCCTTATCCCGGCGTTCAGTATCGGCGGAGGGGGCCTCAGGGAGGGCTCCTTCGTGCTCTTTCCGGGGGTTTACTCTGGGATCCTCGGGCCCAGTTTTTGATGTGCTGAAGCTCTCAAACCTGATCCCTGAGTCACCCTCAAGCTTGAAAGCATGTTCATCCTTATCGCTTCTTGTTGCCTTTGGGGATCATCTCGTCCTAGTCCTGCTCCTTGTCCCAAACGCTGGCCTTGATCCTAGTGGTTTTCAGCCTTATAGATAATGTCGAGACGGGATACATGGGATTCCTCCTCCTCCTCTTCATCATCGTTATGCTTTCCTTCATGTGATCGTCAGCACCACCGCTGCACTGTGTCAACATCGACGCTACCAGCATCAGCACTCTGTGCCAACACCGATACCCTCACCAACTACGTCTTCGTGCGCAGCGCATCCAAAGCGAAAGACATACTTATCCGAGTATCAGAAGAAGCATGTTCTTCGATTCAAGCTTTCTTTTGTTGGTAGCTTCCGGCAGGAAGTGTCGTTCATGCTCCAGTGCTTGGACATGCGGATGTCTTGTGCCGGCGTGCGTTGAAATCTTCGCGCCCAGCCCGGCTGGCAATATACCACGTCTCTGTGCACCCGAAAGCTGAAACTGGCAAAGACCTCATCCCTGCGCCCTTGACGTGTTCAGGTCCATGCGCTTGGATGACAGGCAAGCCTGTCCGTTTTCATTGTTTTCGCTGCTTAGACTTCAGGGTCTGGTCTGTTGATAGGCCGTTCTCTTGTGCAGAACCTGCGAGAGTGGACGGAACGCAAGAGCCCGGCGTGGCCCCCTCTGTGCCTCTGATGGGAGGTATGGGCACTATGCGAAGCAGGGCCAGGTAGCGTTGGGCTCAGACGGGATGGCAAGAGCATTCTCATGCAAGGTGTAGGGTCCTGGCTTAACAGGCCACGCTTGGCTTGCATGTCACGAGCTTTGGGTTTTCCAGCCTGCGCCGTTGTCAACCCTGAACCCGAAACCCTAAACCCTAACCCCCAAACCTTGAACCCGTGTTACCCCGAGCTCCAGAGGCCAAAGCGCCGAACTCCCGGAGTGGCTGATCAAGTCCAGGTGGAAGGCCTCGTCGATGGGCAGTGGCTCCGAATCTCCGGCAAGATCTTCCTGCCGCTTACGGCGGGCCCGTCTCAGCTTGTTTTGGTTCTCTCCAGGGGTGTGCATGCAGTGGTTAAGGTAGGGTTTTCGTGGCTACCGGATTCCGTGTTGAGAGGTTCAGGGGTCTGGTTTGGTTTGTGGCTCGCTGAGCCCCTCTCCGGGGGATGCGCGATTGGCCTTGAACCTGCTACGTGAGACGTCGACTGCTCAAGTTCGACGCAAGGACACAAACCCTGCCCTAAACCCCTAAACCCTAGGCCCTAAACCCCCAAAACCCCTCAACCCCGGAACCCCTAAAGCCCCAAAGAAGCCTTTAAAAAAAACCCCAAAACCCCTTAACCCCCCCCCCCCCCCCTAAAAGCGCAAGGTTTCGCTGCCGGCCCCGGGGATCGGCTTCGTCTCCATCCTGGAGCCCATCACGAAGAAGGACCCAAACAAAAAAGGGGACCAGAAAAAAGGGGTGGGTTTTGCAACGGATTTATTTTTTAAAGGGTTTTGGGGTTTTGGTTGAGGGTGGATGTAGAGGGTTTTAGGGTCCGACGGTCTTGGGGTTCTAGGGTACTCTTAGAGGTCTGGAACTTCCAACAGTGGGGAAAGGAAAGCACTTGTCACTTTTTCGAATTCTGCACTCCGAGAGGAGCGGGACCAGGAACGGGCCGCCCGGGCGAACTCCGGGTGCGGTGCCCAGAGGGGGGGATGTGGGAAACATTGGGCCCAGCCGAGGTTGCTAGAGCGCTCCTGTCCATCTGGGCCTGTTGCCTTGTGTGGGGGTTGAGCCCAGTGCAGTTTTCCAGGGCGGGCGAAAGTCCTTCAAGCTTCCAGGCACGGACTGGCAGTGGTTGGGCAAAATGAGTTTGTCTTGGAACGGGTGCTTTCGATTGAAGATGCCGATGCTGAGGGGTCTTCGCGCTTCACCTGCCTGCGCCCGTAGACGTTGCCCTAAATTCTGGGTGCGAGTGCTCCTGAAAATCAATAACGCAATAAGTTGAAAGGCATGCGGAAGCCGATGAGCACTCAGAACGACCCTGTCGGCTAGGGTGGGTTTCTAGGACCTCTCTTCCATGGGAGGCCATCCCCTTCGACACGGAGGAGGACTGCTGCACGGCCAATCCCAATCAATCCAGAGATCCCAGACTAGAAAGCTCAGCAGTGTCGTGCTTTCAAAATCAGGAAACACACTGTCAAGTAGACCTTGCGTTGAGAGGGTGCCGTGGTGATTTTGTTTTCTTAGGGAAGAAAGCCTCACACAGCCCTCAGAGCCTCTGCACCCGATAGCAAAGACGTTTCCCCCCCATCATGTCAGCAGAGAGAACTCAACCGAAACAAGCACGTTTCGCTGGTGCCTTGCCGGGTCTGCCAGGGCGGTCCCCGCACGGTCACCGCCCGGGCTCTCCCCGAAGCCATCTGCGTCGAACTCGGGCGCTCCAGTCGTGGCAGTGGTGGGGTGAGCCGCTCACTGGAAGACAACTTAGAGGCAGTAGCTCAGTGGGGTCACCACTAGAACACTTCTGAGGCACCGCGCCGCTCCAAGATCCGGATGCCCTGAGCGAGTTCTGCAAGCAGAACCCCATCAGCGCCTTCGGGGACACGCGTGGGGCTCGGAGGAGCTTGGATTTGGCTTGCAGGGTTGCGGTTCGGGAGATCAGCGTTTTGTGCAGAGGGTCCGTCGAAAGTCTTCGGATACTTTCTGTTTGGTACCTCTGCTACCACGATAGCCTTAAATTCCCCAGCTTACTGCTGAATGCCACCTCCGACGCTGGGACCACACCCAAAGGGCGTGGACTTCCTAAACAAACCTGTCATGGCTACGTCAAGCCCCCAACAGATATTCCAGAAGTAAAGGATCCTAGACCACATGTTACTTGAAGCGACTTTGAGAGCGTTTGGCCAGCATGCAACTCGTGTGAAGCGAACGGCCGCAGCTCGAGGCCCCGTGGTTCGCGATGCACCTCCCCGCAGCCCGGCGCACAGGCCGTTCTTTGGGGTCTTGACGGATTTACCGTGCAGCAAGTTTGGTGGGGATGACCGATTCTGGACGTCTGCTGTTGGGCCGAACTCTTCTTGATTTGAAGATCTTGTTTGTTCGAAGCTAGGTCGATTCGGCATTATTACCAGTACTAGTTACTAGTATTATCATGTAGTTGTGTAGACAGCAGGATCACTGTGGGCCCAAGTCTCACCACCACCGTCTTCGGCAGAGCGTTCTCTGTGTTTGCAGGTGTCGATGCGCGATGTGATGAGCTCGTGAGACTTTGACCTCGTCCCTCCAAAGATGGGGGACGCTGAATCTCAAGTAAGGCACGGCCTACACATCCTGACAAGGGGCGATAACCTTTCGAAAACGGTGTCGACGTCAGAAGGGCTCAGGGCTCAAGGTTTGGGTCTCAGGGGTTGATGGTTGGCCCGTGGATTGCAGATTTGCGGTTTGGGCAAATCGAAATCGAGTCAGCCACAGCTCCCACAAGGTAGCTGGCGGCAACCAGCAGGTCCGACTGGGTCAAGCCCCGGGCTGCAGGTCAAAAAGGGCCCCCAGCTTAAGCTGTTCGATTTGGGATGGGGTTGCGCGGTTTGGGCATATGGAGTTTCGGGGTTTAGCATCACCCACGAGGGCGTGAAGGTGGTCTTGGCCCACTTCAACTGAAGAGTCTTGTATGCCCTGGCCCTGCACTCCAGTGATGACGTCTCACTTGAAGCCCTGATAGTTGTTATACTAGGACGATTTCTTGAAGCCGCTCGTGGTGTTCATTGCACTGAATTTCAGGAGGAGGTTGCTCGAACCATCAGCTCGTCAATTCCACCCACTCCCCAAGCCCTGAAGCCCTAAGGCCCATACCCTGAATCGCAAACTACGGCTGGCCTACTTCCTACGCTTTGGGTACAGTGAGTCCATGCAATCGAACCCCCCTCGAGTGTTGAATCTGAGGCACTTCACATCCTCAGGCCAAATCCGGTGATCATCGACATAGCCAGGTTCATCCAAGAGCAACTTTAGTCGGAATCAGAAGCACCACCAGTGCATCCTCCGATACCACTTGCACCAGTGGCAGGAGCAGCAGCCCCACTGCGGCGCGAATGCCAGCGCCACCACCCCACCACCACACCTACCCACCTCCGCTACCACCACCGTTACCACCGCCGTTACCATCACCAGGACCACCGTCACGACCACCACCACCACCGCTAGCGCCGCTACCGCCACCACGACCACCGCCACCGGCAGCAAGGTCATCATCATCATCATCGTCATCATCAGATAGATAGCTCTACATCCGATGCCCCTGAGAGCCGGAGAAGGCCAGGAGCACAGAAGCGCTTGGCCTTCCATCCGAGCCTGCGCTGCCGGAGTCTGGCCCAGAGGAAGCCAAGTCAGTGCCGTCCTTCAGCGAGGTGCACCGGCTTAGGGATCGCCTTGAGGGTGTAGGTGGGTTCTTGCCTTGGGAGGAAGTTTTCGGGGACACGGGGTGACAGTGCAGGCCTGAATCCTTGCCGGTAGAAGTGTTTCGGGAGGAGCTTGCCATGCACAGTCGGTGCTTTCCCGTTCAGATTCCAGACTCGAAGTCCGACAGAGGTCTATTCATTTTCGAGCCAATCCGAGCAACTCGTGTTTCTAAAGAAGGCTGCCGTGCCTGGAACTCTCCACAACCACTGGAAAAAAAGGTGCTTTTTTCAGGTTTGTCGCTCTGCCCAGGGCCTTGGGAAGCGGCTTAGTTGAGCTAGATCTGGAGGCTCGGAGGCTCTGGCGACAGGAGTTCTGGAGATTCTGAGGACTTCGGTTCTCCTTGCGGCAGGGAGCACGGTCTTGAGTCGTCGGATTCAAGGCGTACGATGGGAGCCGCGGTGATCCGATCGCAATCTACTTCCGGTATAAGCCATGGCGGATTCTAATTCTAACAAACTACCAGCCCCTCTAGAAGAAAGAGGGGCTCGGATGATGCCTTCCAACGACAGAGGCCATGACTCACCTGAGGGCTGCCGTTGCGGCCGTGGCGGCCTTCTGCGTGGCCAGTGTTGCCTACGAGGTCGGAACTTTTTGTGGCCATCCCGGCGTCATTGCTGTAGTCGTCAAGGAGTACTGTTATGAGAGTTGTTTGGGGAGAGGCGGGGGCAATTCTGAAGCATCACTTTGTCATGTCTGACGCTTTGGCTCGTCATGTCCATTATCGTGGGTCCCTTGTCATAAGGCGCCGGAACCGGATCCTTGCTTGCGTGGTGAACACACACAGAACCGATGACGAGCTAATGAAAGAACCGCAGCAAAGACGGAACGCACTCCGAGGGTATAGCACAAGCAGGGCAATTGCACTCTGACACCGGCGGCTATCCTCCTCTCCGAGAATCGCCCTCCCATGGGTTTAGAATGATGACTGTGCGGATTAGTGATGTAGTGATGTCAGCTGGGCAAGACCCATTCAAGTAGCCCACGAGGCTCCAGGAGGCTTGTGCAGTGCGGATTTCCAGCCAAGCAGTGTGCTCCAACTAATCTTCGGCCTGAATGTTCGAAAGCCCTCAATGTGTCTTCGAGGCGGAAAGCTAAGAGGAATACAACCAAGCATGGCACACAAAACCATGTAGGCCTTCGTGGCGCCAACCGCGCGCCCGGCGCCGCTTGCGGCTCCCAAGGCCGCGGCAGCCGTAGCACCGTCGGCCGAGGTGCGGACGCTGCAGAAGATAGGTTGTTGTAAGGGTGTTGGAGGTCTTTTGGAAGACTTTGCAGCCCGTAGGAACGAGTCAATCGGCACAAGGTAGTAGAAGTATAGTTCATTTCTTATTGGAGGTAGTAGAAGCAGAATTCATTTCTTACTGGAGGCAGCGGAAACATTAGCCCGCAAAATTGTCACAACGGTAGGCATGGCAGTCACAATAGCCATGACACCATGAGCATCAAGAAGAGGGCTATGGCTTGCAAAAAGGCGGCATGTCATAAGGATGATACCAGTGGTAGCAGCCATCGTAGCACTTATCGCAAGAATCATTGCCGTAAATACTGACATGAGGACGACTGTTGAGGAATGTTGCAAGCAAGACAGGAGTGTCAGGAGTGATTGATAGAGCGGTGCAGCCATCAATGGCTTAAACAGAAAAGCCAGGGTACTGGTAGCATCAACAACAGCAGCTGTCTGGTACCTGTGAAAGGTGCAAGCTTTCACACATAAGCTATAATAGTTGTCATTGTCCTTACAGAACGTCTACAGCATCGGCAATAGTCGTAGACACAGTATGACTAGTAGGAGCCGTAAAATTCGCAAGAGCTAAATTCATCACACAGCTGGTATTACGGTCAACACTGTTACTAGCAATGCAGTGTATCCTCGTGCAGTATGTCGAGCCATTATGCCTCGCAAGGAGAAGGCAACAGTTATTGCAGCGCCGTCCGCACGAAATCTTGCTACATAAAATGTCACGATGACAGTACAATAGCATCGATACGAAGGCATCAAGGGGAATCGTGATAACAATTAACAAGTTGCAGGTGCGCAGTAGACATGACGGCACAGTACAGTGGTGGTAGTAGTAGCAGCAGCAGCAAGAGGAGTAGGAGTAGGAGTAGGAGCAAGGGTGGGAGTAGGAGCAGGGGGTAGGAGTAGGAGTAGGAGCAGGAGCGGAAGTAGGAGTTGGAGTTGGAGTGGAAGGAGGAGTAGGAGTCGGAGTAGGAGTAGGAGAAGGAGTATGAGTAGTCGTCGCCGTTTCCCGTAGTGATGGTGGTACTTGTTGTTGTTGTTGTTGCAGTGGTGGTAGGTGTGGCGGTCGTTGATTGAAGCAGTTGCGGTATTTGTCGTAATTGTCACTTCATGCGGCAGTTGTAGTAGTAATCCATCAACCCGCAAAGCCTTAACTGCCCTAAGCCCCAAAAGCCTCAAGCAGTCATCAATCAGGCAGCTGGTTGGGGACTAGCAGTGGCAGGCTCACGTGCTTGAGGGTTTTAGAGCTTTTTGGCTGGGCTTCGGGGGTGTAGGGTTCGGGGAGTCAGGTAATTGGAGTGGTTCAACGTTTAAGGATCTGGGAGTTTAGGATGAAGGGGCAGGCCGAAGTGTCGGGGTTGTGTATCATACTCAGCGATTTCATCACCATCGCGGAGTGGACGATCACAACCATCACACAAAAAATGCTCGCTACAACAAGCGCGACAGTGCTGACAGCATTGAAAGACTTTTCTGACTTCCAGGCCTTGCCGTCGGAGCCCATGCCGGGCTTGCAGTGGCCTTCCGCGCCCGTGCCGCACGCCAAGCAGAGACGAAGCCGGCAGAGAAGTCGAAGTACGCCTGCGGCCTCAGATCGGTCGGTTCAATCTGTGGTAGAGGGCTCAGGGCAGTTGCACAGGTCTTGTAGCCAGTCTCAAGGATCATGTGGGTAGGCATACCAGGCACCAGGTCAGGGTCGGACGGATTCGCGAGTTGCGTTTCCGGGTAGGAGTCGTGGGTTTTGCAGGGCGGGCGCAGGGCTTCTCTGGAACTCCTGCCCGAACTGACTCTTGGGACTCCCCCGAAAAAATCCCAAAACCGGCCGAATCCGAGCTTGAGAAGTCCCTTGCAACTCCGGTTTCAGCACCTGCGTTCTACAGGTAGAGACCGTCGCCGACGAGCGGCTCTTCGAGCAGGCCGGCCTCGATGCTGTTCTACGCCATATCATAATATGATGCATGACTTGCATCATCGTCATGGGCATGGTGATAGTCATCGATCATCTGTCCAGCGTCGGCTGCAGGACGGCAAGCTCGAAAGATGCAGAGATGTAGCGTTCTTTGAGGTTTGCAACGATCCTCCTGACACGGTATCACTCCTTCATTCGAACACTAAGGAGTAAACCTAGAAGTTCAGAAGTGACCGGTGCGGATTTCTGCTGTCACTGTTTGCAGCCGCTGCATTTGTCACACCCACCTGTATTGGTAAGCAGTAACGGTCGGCTGGATCTCAGAAAGCCGGTGCCCTAGTGCATGGGCCTACGAGCTCCAGGTCTACCTGCAGTACACGTCCGAGTACCTGAAGGGGCCTCTGTACTGGCACCCGGACAAGCTGTACGCCGGCCGCACGTGAAAGCAGGACATTGTCAACACTGTCATCGTCATCATCATCGTCATCATCAGCATCAGCATCTGCATCGCCATCGTCATAGTCATCGTCACCATCATCGTTATCATTATCCAAATTATTCGTATGATAATGGCAAGCTTCACGGTTCTAGATTGATGCAGGGTTCAGTCATCCGATGGTCTTTTTCCCGCCCTTCCTGCTCAGAAGACTCATGCTGGAGCCAGTGTCCACTTTCACAAGAATGCCTGCTAGCAAGTACAAGCAATTGACTCGCTGAGCCACCCTTTCATCGTCTTGGCAAAGATGTTCACACACACACACACACACGCACGCACACGCACGCACGCAAGAAGCCAACAAACTTCAAGTCGTCGCAGCCCAGGCAGGGATGGCTCCCGGACTACCCAGGCACCCCCATGATCAAGGAGGGCAAGTACACCAGCCACGCCAGGGCCTCACACAGGAGGAACTTTATGGCTTTAAGTTCAGCTTTGGGGTTCCAAGGCCATCCTTTGAGCCGGCTGCGGCTCATAGACAATCCCCTCATGATATGTCGAAGAGCAGCAGTTGCAGTCGCCACCCCTCCCCCCCGCTCCACCCCCCCTTTCATCATTTAGGGAGTGTTTTGGGCCTCAGGTCATCGGCAACCTGAAGGCCTTCAGCTCCAACGAGCTCGCCTTCCTGTCCATGCTCTTCTTCGGAGTCGGCCAGGGCCCTTTTGTTTAGGGCCTTGCTGGGCCTTTCTTGCACAATGCCGGGTCGAAAAGGAGGGGGGTGGTGCCTCATGGGGTCGGGTGGTCTTTAAGTCTTGAGACCTGTGGAGATCTTAAGCCCTAGGGGATGGATCATGCAGGAGGTTATGCTCTAAGGGGTTGGGGGTTTTGGAGCTTTGTCGGAGTTTGAGCTGCTGAAGGGTTGAGTTTCACTCTCAAACAGTGCTCGGCGCTTTTGTTCTTATGCTGTCCGTCGAAGCGAGGCCTCTATGGCAACCTCCAATTCAACTTCTACGACCCCCAGTGGGCCAAGGCACCCTCGAAAGCTTCTTATCTCGGTGCTTGTCAGCTGTTCCCAGCTTTAGAAGCCACCTGCGCGACAGCTTCACATGCGAGGTGGATGCTGGCGGCTTCTTCAACGCCCTGCTCCTAGAGCTGCCCGGGCTTCGGGCACCCATGATGCGCTGCCTGCTCAGGTGTCGTACATCGTGGAGTCCTTCCTGCTCCCCATCTCCTTCTTCATGCACATCGCCTGCTACATCCAGAGGCAGAATGGCCGCTTGCCGGCAGATGGGCATTTCGACCCCGACACAGCTCGTTGTTAAGAACCTCCGAATCAGGCACAGCAGCACTTCGTGGTTGTTACTGGGTGTACGGATAAGCACAAGAGGTTGGAGAAGCCTTACGGTGCCGCACGCATTGCTGCCCTCCCGAGGAAAGTGAGGGCGCCGCCTCCTGGTGGTCAGCCGCTTTTTAGAGGGCCGGCGATGTCTGGGCCATTCAACGCTCCGTGGCACAAAGCAGCTTCTGGGGATTCGTTTGTTTTTGGGCGGGACATTCGCGACTCGTGTTGCAAGCAGTTTTCCACAGAGCATGGAAGGGGGTCGAGGTCTCTTTTGACTGGACTCTGTTGAAAGTTGCTGTGCGTAACCTGACTTGACAAAGTGAAGCCCTTTGCGCCTCCAGGCTCCACCGCACACCTGTGCGCGCAGAGTGAGAAAAGAGCGCAGCTCGGGATGGCGTATGCAATCTAGTACCAGGTGCTGCAAGAGTGGCATGTTTGCCTACGTTGGTCGGGCGATTTACCGAAGCCTGCAGCCGAGTCTCGAGCCGAAGTCTTCGTTTATGAGCAAGCCGCTTTGTATTTCTGAAGCGTTGGTAGGAGTTGTGAGAATGATGCTCGTATTGACCTTCTTTCCAAGACCCGGGGACCACTATGACTGAACTTTCCCAACTCCGAAACCAAGATAGGGCAGAAGCTGAGACTGCACTTTGCACTCAGCACGCGCTTTCTGCGGAGCCAACCTAGATTTTTGGACCTCGCGGGAGCAGCGATGGTCGCATGCAATGTGCAGTAAGGATAGAACAGTCAGCTGTGAAACAAGAACAAGGGGCCGCCAATGGCCCAGTCTTCAGTCGCAAGAACACCAGGAAGAGCCCCAAACCCCGAAGCTTTACTCCGAATAATAATAACAATAATAATAAGAATAATACTACATCGTTGCTCGCTGAACCGCCATGGCTTCGATGCCGACCCGGAAGAGGCAGCTGCAAAGGCCGCTGCTGACAGGGAAGAGGCCGGTCGTCGAAACGAGCCTGGCAGTGTTGTCATGTGTCGTGTAGCTGGGACGCGCCTTGTCCCTCACAAACCCTAACCCCTATAAACCGTAAACCCTAAACTCCAAGCCAGGCCGTCCCCTCGGCTCCTCCCGGTAAACTGAGAGGAGGTCCTCAGTTTTGAAGAGCAACAAATTCAGAGGCCGCGAGGGCTCCAGCGGCTGAAGAGCTTCTCCAAGGGCCTCGAGTACGCGCACAGCCAGGCGCCCCCCTTCTCTTCATGAGAGGTCCCACTCGGCTCGTAAAATTGGGGTTGCTAGGGCTGATAGGGGTCCTCATGGCATCGAAGGGAACATGTTATCATTTCACTTGATCGTGTCGTCTCCTCGCAGGCATATGCGAAAGTGTGCGGTCCGGAGTGGATCCGCGCCACAGCTGCATTGAGCCACACGCTTTCTTACTCTGTTCGGTGGTTTTCGGGATGAGCGGTTCGAGAGTCCGGGGTCCTGGGCTTCAAAATGAACTTCGGATTCTACAGAGTTTCAGCTTTTACAGACGGGCAGAAGCAGGCACGCTGCGTGGGCGGCTCCTGAATCGCCGTGTGGCGCTGGTGGTTTGTGGGGAGGCAGGCAGCCCATCCGCCCAAGATTCACAATGATGGGAGTTGAAGAGCGTTCCCCTCCAAGGAGGTTTGTATTCGATAATTTCTGCTGAGGGACTCATCGGCAACCCCACCCCCAAATCCGAGGGGCCCTAGACCAGTCCGAGACCTCGAATTCATGTCACAGGCACATGAGGATGTGCTCGATCTCACCCGCAAGTCGTGCATTATCGAGCCGGAGAAGGCGGCAATCACGACAGGAGTCAGGAGTCATCATAGCTGTATTCAAAGTGGCACTATGCCCTCCATACCGGAAGTAGTCATGTTTGCAACGAAAACACAACCGGCAGTAAAGCCACGCAGGAATCGTGGCATAGTTTTACCGGGATCCGAGCCCGAATGCGCTTTCGTTTATGTTTTGAGTTGACCTCGGTCGGGTTTCCAGATTTGTGGCTTCGGAGTTTGTTTTTGCCTTGAAGGCCTCCTGAGAGTTTTCACATGTTGCTTTGGAAAGCCCGAGCCGTAGATCTCAACGCCCTGAGCGATAGCAACCGCAAAATCACAGGCCCCCATCCAACGCGAGTTGGTGAGTCCCTTGCAGAGTCACTAGCTTCGCAACAGCGCACTCTAGACTCTAGACTCTAGTATTATTATTATTGTTATTATTATTATTGTCATTAGATGCCTCAAGAATCCGAAGCCCCAAACCTTGTCGCTTGCGAAGGGCTGGCGAAAGCTGATAGATGCTGGCGCCTTCGGCTCCTCCTTGGCCACGAAGGCCGGCATCCGAAGGTCTTTTGACCCCATCGCTGCAATCAGTCTCCTGAGAACTGAGAGTTGGCCCGTTTCATAAGAGGGTCTCCACAATAATCCGATTTTGCACCCCTTTTCTCAGTTGCCGCCACCGAAAGTCGAAACTTTGAGCGCTTAGACCTTGTGCACGCGTTTGTCGCGGCATACCATGTCGACAATGGCAGCCAAGCAGCAGTACCAACAATTGAAGTAAGAAGGATACGAGGAGGACTAATCCTGGCGATCAGGCCGCTGGCTATGTTAGCCGTCGCAAATCCTTCCTCAAACATCAGACCCCAAAACGCTCTACCTTCAACCTGCTTCCAACCTGCAGAGCCGATCCAACAACACACAAGCATGGCGGTCTCGGGCTGAGGATTGTCGCTCCTTGAAGGGTGCAAAGGCCTGGGCCTCTCGGGTGGTCGACGAGGCGGAGGCTCCACCAGGGGTTACACAGGCAGTGTCTTGTTGAGGATCCGGAGTTCGGGGTTGGAGCATTTGGGGTTTGGAGTTTGAGGCTTTTGTTTTTGGGGCGTGGGGCTTTGTTTTGAGATGCTTTAGCTGTGCTGGGTTCTGATATGGTTTCTGCTGACTTCCTTCGTAGACCACGGTCTTTGCGTCACAGCACATGTTCATCTCTTTCTTACCCAGACCTGAAACCCCGATAGGTGAATCACGCTTCCAAGCACGAGATGCCTAGACTGCAAGCTACCATGACTGTGAACCCCAAACGACGTATGCGTGCTAAGCATAGTCATCCTAGTGTTCATGGGATCCTGAGTAGCCATCGTGCATGTGTATGTACAAATATGTATGTATGGACATTGATGGTGTTGTTTTAGCATGGCCATGCTAGTCATGGCTAGCACGTGAGCAACTAACTGTACGAGGACAGTGAAGAGGACGACCTCATCGGAGCGAAGTTGGTTTACCAGGCAGAGCTCGGCTCTCCAGTGGCTTTCTGGAGATTTTGACAGCAACTTTTGAATGATGGTCAACAGAAAGGCCCTGAAGAGGATCAGCGTAAGGATTGGGAGGAACAGAACTACGACAAGAGCACTCGCAGCAACAGGATACTTTAACATCATGATCATCATCATCATCATCACCATCATCATCATCATCATCATCATCGCCATCATCGCCATCATCGCCATCATCACCATCATCACCATCACCATCATCACCATCATCACCATCACCACCCTCACCACCACCCTCACCACCACCCTCACCACCACCCTCACCAGCCTCATCCTGTTTCTCGTCTTCATCCTCATCTTCATCCTCATCATTTTCCTCCTCCTCCTCCTCCTGCTCATCCGCCTCCTCCTCCTCCTCACCCTCACCTTCACCCTCACCCTCACCCTTACCCTCATCCTCATCCTCATCATCCTCATCATTCTCCCCATCTTCCTCATCCTAATCATCATCACCATCATCATCATTATCATCATCTTCATCGCGAGCCTTTTTATCGCCTCCAGCAGCAGCAGCATCGTCAGCTCGTAAGAAGCAGAATCATGAGACGTGGAAGAGCAGCAACACACTCAGCCAAAATAGCCATAACAGTATGACGACCGCTGATAATATGTCAGCAAGGAAACCTCTAGGCTTTCTCTCAGGGGCTCTTGAGTTTAGAGCCCTCGGCCCCTTCACCCTCTCTGCAGGGCCCCCCCGAACGCATCTGAACGCCTCGACCAGGCCGGGGAAGATCCTCAGTCGGCCGGGACGGCGCGCGTCTTTCGGCCAAGCCAACCGTGGCATCGGCACAGCCCTCACCTGAGGCACTTGCACGTATTCCGGGCTGCGCATTGTGGCGTCGTGTTTTGAGGCCGCCTGTAGGGAAAAATGGAGATTTCAACCTTTTGGAGGTAATTGGCTTTCTAGGCAGCCCAATCGTGCTTGCACAGATATTGTTATCTGCTTGGGCCTGCGAGGTGTAGCAGTAAGGTAGTGAGCCATGTCATCGACAAAATCAGCAGGCAGTAGTTTTACCTGTGGCTGCTCTAGCCTCTAGCTATTGATTTTTCCAAGTACGGTACTGCTCAGATCAGAGATCAATCTCCAAACTAACTCGCCACGGTGTCATGAATTTTGTCGCTATCTCCCATCCCCACTCAGAAGGAGCAAATCCACAGGCTTAAACCCTCAACCCATTAACCCTCTAAACTCTAAACCCTCCCGCAGTCTTGCCGAGAAGGAAGGCAGCAGAAGGTTTCATGGTAAACCCTTCAGCACCGAAGAAGGCAGTACTTGCCGGGTACACGCTCAACCTGCAAACGCAAAAAGCTGCTTTTTCTGGCGTGAAGCTGCCAAACCGACGCGCGCAGGCATGCTGCTTCAGTTCTGAGTTGTTTTCTTTGGCGTTTTCCTGTTGCTGTCGCCAGCATGACTCGCTTTGGAGCTGCGCTCCTCTTTCCAGTCGCGTTTGCTCGTCGAGCATGGGAGATCGGGGGGGCTGAACCGCATATGGATGAGTTGGTGGTAGATCCTGATGCTGAGTCGCCCCAGCCTGTGGAACAGTGAATGTGTAGCAGATTCACGAGGCTCCTCAAGGACTTCTACAAGCCGGATCCTCCCGCTTCATGAAAAGCTCCGACGATATTCACCAGAAGGACTTTACGGACTCGTTTAGCAGGGGCGACACGAGGGACCTTCCCGTATCTATTGGTTCACAGCAGCTCGAGATCTCAGGACAGCTCTATGACGTCATCAGCCGGTGGAATCAAGAGAGGTGCCCATTTCTTGTGGCAACGAGTGGGCAGGCCGAGGCTTGCATGCCGAGAAGCGAGTCGTGACGTTGGAGCTTGGGAAGGAGCCACAAGACGGGCATTACAAGCTGGAGGCAAGTTGTGACATGGACTGGAAGGGATACGGATTCTCAGTTAACCACTTCGACCACTTCTCGAACTACGCAAACTTCGCACCCATCGGATACGATCATAATGACCACCTAAAGGTGCCTCTGAAAACGCTGCATTTGGCGGTCTAAATCCTTGCTGTGGCATGACTATGTTTCACCACTTCACTCCGTGCCTCGCCGCAGTGGATTCACCCCTGCAGCCTCCGGGGCAAAAGGCACCGGTCGTTGAGAAATAGCGATGGCCGTGCGATCAAAAATCGCGATTTTTTGATGAAGCCGAAGGTCAAAGGCATGAGATGGATTGAGGATACCCACGCTGTCGGCGTCCTCTTGGTAAACCCCCCCGATTTCTTGGGCGGGATGATGTCAGGCTAATCGGATGGATGAGTTGATTGAATCCCTGAGAAAAATTATCATGAATTCTTAAAAAAAGAGGGCGCTGTGGCGCCGTGTTTTGTGCTCCCCCAAACATTTTCCGGTGTCCGGGGTGCTGAACCGGCTCGTGCTAAGTCAATATTTTGATTATCGGTATAGAATCCGCAAAGCCGTTTCGGCACCCCCTGATTCAAGCCGGTACTTACATCCATGTCTGCAAGTTTCAACTACTCAGTACAAAGGACTGGGATCCTCTTTTCCCTATAAAGTGTCTCCTAAACCCTAAACTCTAAACCCCTGAACCCTAAACCCTAAACGTGGTAATGAGTGCAAGCCGCCTTCCCTTGGAGGGATTCTGACGGCACCTGCTGACGGAAAAAGGCGATCAAAAAGAAAACCCTAAACTCTGAACCGTTAACTCTTCAAACTCGGGATTTTGGAGTCTCTGGAAGGCCTCACCGAAGCCCTCGTCTGGGCCCGCAGCCCAGCCCAGCCGCTGGAAGCTGAGCTTTTTGGCGCTTCGGGCTTAATCTCTTGTCCTAGTACTTAGATTATCTGATTAGTATGGTAGATGAGATTAGGGTATATTATGGTATATTCTAGTATCTTACAGCAATCAGCGCCGCAGGTCAAGTGATGCAACCAACAGCAAAGGGCACCAAGAACATCAGCATCATCAGCAGCAAAAGCAACAGCCAACGAGCCGCACTGCAGCTGCTGCTCCTATCACTGCTGTTTCTATTGCTACTGCTTGGGGTTTTCGGGATGTGGGATTAGAGGGACTTTTGCCAGTGGAAAAAATGTTTCTGGCTTGGGGAGTCTTGGCTTGGCAGCTGTTTGGGGTCTATGAACCAGAGCCTGACTTCAGAGTTCTGGGTGGTTAAGGCCCGGAAGGCGGGGGCTTTAACCCCAGTGGCCGTGTTGCCCAGAGAACTTCAGGCGGTTTTCGTTTTGTTCGACGATCAGGCCGACCCATCGAAACTCCACGTCTTTGAGTGGTCTGACTTGGACGAGGAGGCCTCTGCACAAGCTCCGGAATTCCACAAAGGATGAACTATCAGGGTTTAAACCAGGAGCCTTGATGTGTTGATGTCCCTTTCTCGCGCCCAAGGAGTGCCCGTGCTTCCGAACACGTGCGGCAATGCGCAGTGTTGAACTTTGGTCAGTTGCCCACCTGTTCAGCTGCCAGATCTTGTTGTGAAAGGCCACAAACAGTCCTTCAAAAGAGCTGGAGTCACCTCCTCAAGGCGAAACGTATTCACCATACAAGAAGTATGACCAGAGATGCTGTAAGCTGGTGCCAGTCCGCGCTCTAAACCTGGCCTGAGCCGAATGCCCCCTCTGGCTTATCCCCAAACGGAGGCCGATGCGTTGAACAAGCGGCGGCTGAACGGAGAGGAGGTGCCGGCCAAAGAGCTCGTCTCTTGGCCTGATCTGCTGCAAGTGCAAGGGCTGGGGTCGGGTGGATGTAGCATTGAGAACTCAGTGAGGGCTCGGAGGGTCACAAGCTCGCAAGCCAAACTCTAAGCCCTCCAAAGCCCTAAACCCTACGCACCCCGAAACCCGAATTGTTGGAGGTCGCTGCCTTCGCTTCAACTGCAACGCAGCGCCCGAGCCCAGAGTATCTCCAGACATCCCAACATCCCGAGAACCCGAGACCTAAACCTCGAGCCCGGAGCCCAAAAGCCTCAAATTCCCAAACCCGAGCGGATTTCGTCACCTCTCCCGACCCGGACAGCCGGATCCGGGCCGAGGATGCGCTCATCTCCGAGAGGAAGAAGGTGAGGCTCAAGGAGGGCCTTGAGCTTCCCGGCTGGAAGAACGATCTTCCCTTACATTTCTCCTTCGGTTTCCTGCAAGTCATCTTTGTTTTCAGTTCATAGGATTTGGCTCGAAGGTTGAATAGCTGTTCTGAAGTATAAGGGTTCTGTCAAACGAGCGATTCGTTGCCCTGTAACGACGTGGGAATCCAGTCAAGGGCAAGCTGGCTCAAAAGTTCCTGAAATTTTCGGTTTTACTCGGAGACAGAGGTCAGTGATACGATGGAACAGAAACATGAAAATCAACCTTCTTAGTCAGGCTGAACGACCATACCGATCAGAATCGTTTTGGCCACAGCAATCATTACTATTGCTCGCGAACAACTTTTTTTCAAGTTCAGAAAGGTCGAAGTTTTGGTATAGTGCTCGTCATGATCACAGTCGTCGTCGTCGTCGTCGCCGTCGGCGCCATCGTCATCGTCGTCGCCGTCGTCGCCGTCGTCGCCGTCAGCATCTTCATAGTTTCATCACCATCGACATCACCACTTCAATGGTCGTCATCCTCCTCATCCGCAGCTTTGTGATCGTCGTGGGCATATTGGGCATCTTCTCTCCATGTCTTGTCATGGATGCTTGATCAAGGAAGTGTTTATGCCCTGGAAGCATGGACATCATGTATTGGCCATGGAGGTCCTCGAGAAGCGATGTCCAGCACAGACGTCAGTTTGAGTATGCATGCTCTACGTGCATCACCCAGCTGTGGATGAACGGGTTAGGCGCGCAGTCCCGGTCTGGCACAACACCAATCAGGAACGGTCAAGCCTGCTCATATCAGAGTTCGTGTCTTCTGTGCACCAGTCAGGAAAAGCGAGGACCCTCCTCCGGCACATCCTCCTACGACGGCTACCATGGCTGCTTCCACTAGCAGCACCAAGCACATCAACGCGACGACGACGAGGACGAGGACGACGACGGCTACCACTGTCACTCCTGATTACTCCTCCGCCACTTCCTCGTCGCGGATCAGACGCACACGCAATCCTCACGCGTGTAAACCGGATGCCGTCCGAAAGTAGCCTCTTCCACCGCCTGACCAGGCTCTTCGATGATTGGTTGCTGCGACAAGCCGGCAGCCTGAAAGAAGGCGCCGCCCCTTCCTACCGAAAGCACCCTCTTTGTTTTTCCTTGGGCTTAGGGTTTAGGGGTTTAGGGTTAGTGGGTTGACACCAGGGAAGCCTGACATCCTGAGGCTGAGGGCAGTCTCGAGGCATTTTACAAGAAATCGAGGGGGCCGACGGCCCCTCGAAGTCCAGGACCTTCAGTAGCCTAAAGTTGGAATGGGGGTTGGGGATGTTTGGGAGTTCTTCTATACAGGGGACTGGTATGGGACTTTATGAGCAAGTAGCTGAAAAGCCCGCTCTTCTCCCTTGGGAGGCCGTCGCCTAGAGGTCGTCCTGGAGGATGCTTCCCGGGGAGGGCTCTCTTGAATGTTGTGGAGAGAAGTTGAGGGCAGTGTCGGCCTTCTTACTTGCATTTAGGCAATCGGGTTGTAGGGTTTAGGGGTTTTAGGGTTGCTCCGGTCCAAAGCTCTTCTGGGGCTGACAAACAGATCCCCAAAGGCCCTGAACGAATCCCATTCTTCAAGCTTGAGGCACTTTGGGTTTTGGGGTTCGGGTGTATTGCCTAGAGTAGTAACCACCATCCCTTGCCAAGGGCCCTCCTCCCTTGTAATTAATTTTCAGAGGAATTCTATGAAATAGAATGCGGTTAGGTTTGGAAGGTATGCAACAGAGTATGCAGGAAAGTGCGGTTGGGTTTTAACACTTTGAAGCAAGGTCGGGTTTTGGTTTCGGGATGTAAATAGAGAGTGTGGTTTGGTTTAGAAGAAAAAGCTTGAGACTTGATTCCTCTGAGAGAGCCTTTTTCTGTAATGGCCAGAGGGAGCAGCGAATCACTGGACAGCCAAGCATGTACGACGTAGTGTATGTATTCCTGTTGCCCTAAACCCAGCCCTAAACCCTAAACCCTGAACCCTAAACCCCCCCCCCCAAAAAAAAAAACCCTAAACCCTAAACCCTAAACCCATCCCAGAATTAACCGAGTCTAAGGCCAGAGTCGGCCAGGGGGGGCCGGAATCGTTTCGTGGCTTCTCCGCGCACCGCTCCGTGACAAAGTTTTGCGGGGTCATCTCGATGCAAGTCTGGTTTTATTTCACAATTTTCTTCGATTTTTCGCTCTTCTGTTACCCGTTTCTCTAACCTCCGGGCGCTTTGTTTTAGAAAAGATTTGTTTGCTGCTTTTTTCCATACGTTTTTCACTTTTTGTATATGGTTTTCATATTTTTATCTTTGATGTATCATGTCTTTATGTATATATATATATACATATATATATATATATATATTTTTTTTTTTCCTTACTTCTCCTAGGGCTCTCCAAAAAACCAGATCCAGACCATTTCCTGGACATCCAGAGGGGGGGGGTGGAGAGCAGCCTGCTTGGAAATGTGAAAAAAGAAACCTGATCGGGCCTATGGCTCGGGGAGAACCACGGTTCACGGTTTAGGGTACAAAATGTGAATCCGCCCAAAAACAGATGCGCACTTTCCAGTTCCATGCGCCGGAGTTCCGGCTAAGTTGACCTTCTGCCCTGGGCCCTGCCCTTGCCCGGCCGGGCTCTACATACAGACGTACAGAACACCACCGGAAGACAAATAACATTGACGAAGACTAAGATTCAGGCTGCATGCACTGTGACCCAAAGCCTGCCCTGCACTTTTTTCTCTGTTCTCACTGCTACTTGACATTAGGGGAGGCTCTTACAGCTACTGATTCCACTGATTGTGTGTTACTGTTTACTTCTACACATCCCAGAGACTCCGTCATATCGTGCAGTCTCTATGTACATACACGGATATACACAGGTTCAAATCGCAGTTCATAGTGGTATACAGGCGCGGCATTCTGTGTCACATCTTTTCCACAATCTCCTTCACATTCATTTCTCAGAACCACATTTTTTTCACATTTCCATTCCTGCGCCATGCTTTTTCCCATGTTTTCACCCACACGTTCCCCAGTAATGAATTACATTGGGAAACCTTGCTTACGCAAGGCCGTGGGGATTACTAGCCTAGAGAACCAATCTGTGCGATAATCCGTTTAGAGTGTTGGAACATGAAGGCTCAATTTGCCAGCAACCTGAACTTGGAACAGCTTCGAGCCAAGGAAGTTTAGTCGCCTTGCGGTATAGGTTTTGGAGAGCACACAGCCCTTTCAGTACTTCCATGCCATGCCAGGGGGTCCCGTAAAGCCTCGTCAGCTTCTGGCCAGGCCCATGTGCCCGCCAGAGAGGTGGAGCTGCACGAGGCCGGGTGCAAAAGGGGCTCGGATGGTGCGGGGTGCATTCAGGGCTGTCTCATGGGGAGTGTGTGTCCGGCCGGGCTTTCAGAAGGAAAAGACGGAGAGCCTTGTGGAACCGACGACCGACAGGAATGTCTGCAGCGGGTTCGGCTGTTGTCTGTGCGGTGTGCTATCCGAATCCCGGAGTTGGATTCGTCTTGTCTCTCCAAAACGGACCATCAGCCTTCAGAGAAGACTCACTTGATCCGGGAGATGGCACTGATGGTTCCTGGCAACTTCTACGTGCAGTGATAGCACACTTGCCAAACTCCAACTTCAAAGATCCCCCAAACCTGAAACGCCTGGAGCTCTAGAGCGCCCTCTTCAGCCAGAAGGCCGTAGCCCTCAGGAGCCCTCCTGCGGCCCAGCTCCGATCCCCCACAGCTGCATCCGGTCGATTGAGCTGGACTCGGACGAGGATTCCGAGGACCGTTGCAGGGCTCCGCGCCTCGGGGCTCTCCTAGGATTGTAAATGGCTCAGGGTTTCGGGTGGGGTATGTTGTGTTCGTGCCTTTTTTTCCCGGGGTTTGGGGCGTGCACCATGCGACAAGAGCCGAGGACCTAGCGCTGCACATCAGGGTCCCTTGGTGTGGAAGTGTCTTTGCCAACAGCCGGTGACCTCCGAGAACATCCCTCCCTCCGCCCCGCGATTTTAGAATTGCAGACATCTTCGGCCCAGAGGCTCGTCAGGCCGACGAAGAAAGCCCAAAACCTCCAAGGGCATGGGAGTCCGAGACCCCCCAGAAAACCCCGGACACCTTTTAATTACGGGCCTGCAACCCTGACTGAGCTCCCTGGAGGACGAACGTGATCCCGATGATGGCCAAGGCCTGCATCCCTGTCAGATTCAGGTCTTCAGGCTCAGGACACTGTCGGAGCCGGTGGCAGGGGGATGAGCAAGAACCCGCAAAAACCCGTGCACGACCCTTTGAAGCCCCCCCCCCCGGGTGCCTTGAAGGCTCCACCCTGAGCCTGGGAGATCGCCTTGAGTCCGTCTTTGAGGCACCTACTTGGACTACCTGCGGCGCCGCTGCCTGGAGTCAATTCCCAGCTTGACGCATGCGATGGACCCGCGCGAGTTGGGCATCTCGTCTTTCTTGAGTCAGGGCTCCGAGTCGCACGAAAGTAGAAACGACACCTTAGGCTCCGTGGTACCGAGAAAAAGACCATCTCCAAGCCATGGTGGAAGAGAAGCACATGTCCTGAGAGCCCCAAACCCTGGTTCCAACACCTCAAGCAGAGGCGACGACGACCACGAAGATCTTCGGGATGCCTTCCAGGCACGAACAGGGAGCTCACTTTGAGGGCCTGGGAGTTCTTGTGGGTTTGGGACTGCAGGCTCTGGGCACATTTGCTGCTCTACGGCTCTGAACACATCTGATGCTCTACAGCCCAGAGAATTTGAGGTGAATCTGTCCAGTTCGCAGGTCTCCACGCCCAACCCTCCACGGAGCGCCAAACTCATATGCCCCCAATGGCAACGAACTGCATAGAATCCCACCCCCTTGACCCCGTATACCCAAAAAAAACCCAAAGGCCCGCAATGCCGGAAGGGCTTCCTTTGTAGGCTCTCCTCACCAAGCCCCTTCCGCCGGATCCGGAGCTGATGGAGCTGGAGAAGACCGGAGCAAAGGCGGCGCAGGATCCGTGAAGTGGGACTCTAGCAAAGGCTCCGATGTTTCGAGAGCGCTTCTCTCTCTCTCTCTTTCTCTCT